TTTTAATTGATTATCGTACAAGGATCTACCTCATTCTTGACCTCGACTTACAAATTAGTTACATTGTAATATGCATAAGACTACGACACTATTTTCTTGCAACTTGTTTTATAATTATAGATTTTGAATATCTGAAAAAAAATACATTATTGAAATTCCTAGCAATACAAACGCCGTAAGTGGCATCATTGCCTGGTATTAAACGGTTCTAAAGGGGACGCCATTATTACAGTCTATTGTTGTGAAATAGATATTAGCCGAGTTCAGTGTTTTGTGTCTTTTTAAACTGTTTTTTTATCTAATTTCAATAAAAATGCCAAAGCGGCGTATAATATGCCGACAATTACAGGAAAAGAGCCAAATATGTGCTACTTCTTTTCACAAGTAAGTTTGACATTGTTTCCATGGGCGTTCTTACAAGGGTGTAAGGTGTCCTAAGTATTTTATTTGTTAATTTATTATGTTTGTATTTTGATACTGACACTAGCTCTGTGTTTATTTGTAGAATACCATAAGATCCTGCGATACGAGCAGTGTGGCTAGAAAATTTCGCCATATCTGAATATGATTTTTCAAAGGATAATTATGTCTGTCGAAGCATTTCCGTGCTACAGATATTAAGGTAACAGTAACTGGAAAACGATGTCTCACACATGGAACTGTGCCTATTAATACAACATTTGGAAGGTAATACGTTTTAGCACAGTGTTGATGAAATGGTTGTGCCGTCTCAAAGGTTCCCTCTTCGAGAAATTGCCAGTGAAGGAAATTTTATAGATGTTGCTATAAAACATCTTCAATCACATGTTGTCCCTGTTCCATAAGACACGAGCTGTCAATGTTGTGAGCTCAAAATTCAGCTTATTTTTGTTGCGTACATTTAAAACATGCTTATTTTCCCATACGATTAAATGTTGTTCAATGTATTCATTTTTCCGTTACTTTTAGTTCAAAATAATATGTTTTGTTTTCTTTGCATTGTTTATATTCCAGCAGATTTTAATTAAATACATTTTTGCTCCTTTTCTTGTAGTTTTATTTAAATTATTTATTTTAATAAATGTTCTTCCAGTAATCGAGAACTACTATAATAGAATTAATAGTA